TCCAACCATTAGTAAAATTTGAAATATCAACTGCTTTTGTATTCTGAGAGTACAATAAATCGTAAATTTCTTTGAGGAGTTTTTCGGTATGATTTGTTAAGGTTTCATTTGATATATAATCAATAAAATCAGTACAATGAAAGAAAAGCTGTAAAACCGAAATTGTATAACAAAATGATGAATAATTTTTCATTCCTCGAAAAACGTGATAATCGATCTCTAAATGGTGTTTGGAATATTTTTCTAAGCGATCTTTAATTTTTTTGGGTGTTCTTGGCTCGGACATAGGCGTAAAAAACGATTTTGAAAAATAAATTATTTCTTTAGTTAATATTTCACCATGTATAATCGTCTTTTTAAAAAATTTCAAATCGGCCCTAAAAAAAAAAATTTCAAATCGGCCTTGGAAAAAATTTCAAATCGGCCTTTTAACCGTTTAATGCGAAAATCAATTCTTTTTCTTTGGAAATACAAAAAAAAAATGTCTTAAATCTTATGATGATTCTTGGAATAAAATCGTTTGAAAATTTCTTACATGATATAATTTCATGATTATTTCGAAAAATGAACAGAGATGAGTTTATACTGTTTTCATAAATAACATTACATAAAATAAAAAATATTATGGTATTTTTTTTAGACTCTTATTTTATGGAAAGATATTTAAAAATTAATTTGAGATTTTGAGTATTCAAAATTTCAAAAGAAATAATCAATTAGGACACATAACCAGTTCATTTTCAATGACCATTTATCAATTCAAAAAATACACAAGAAAAAAAAAGGCCGTTTTGAAATCTAATGCCTGTATCACAAATATACAGTATGTGGAAATATATTTGACCTTTCAAATCCTCTTTGACCAAAATTGAATAAATTTGCTTTTCCTATTTAAAATTTTAAATAAAAACATAGAATTAAATAATAAAATGTAAAATTAATATTCAAAAAGTTAAAATTCATAACGTCCTATTTTTAGACGTTAAATTTCATTATTTTTTTACTTTTATACCACTCATTTGATACAGCATTCACGTGCAAATCCGAAAATTAGCATTACAGAGTTCAACTAAATTACTATTTATACATTATCCGTTATGATTCCATACTGATGAGTATATCAGATATTCAATGATGATTGAAGAGAGTTCTGCAATTTATTTATTTATCACTTTTGATTTATTTTTCATGTTATTTTATAAACAATTTTTAAAAAAGGAGATGAAAATACTTAAAAAAAAAAAAAAAAAAAAAAAAAAATCAAACTCCTATTTTTCGAACCTTGTCTTTTTTATTAAAAAACTAAAAGTTTATTACTTGTGAGCCATTTTCAAGAATTAAAGGCGGCAGTGGCGACAAACTTTTTCCATCTTCTATTGATGCTTCTTTAAGATCTTTCACAATTTCACGAAGATTAATCGAATAATCTCCCTCATTTGGCATTCGACCATTTTCTCTATAAAAAAGTTCTTTTAAATTGTCAGTGGAATTGAGCCAGTAATTCCGTAAAAGATCATTATTCTGAGTATTATCATTCTGTAACATTGCATACTCAGACGAGAGCGGTTTGTTTACGTCAATTGGTATTATGCCTGATTTTTTAAACCCAGACTGAATGTTGTCTATTGTGGCACTTTTTCTCATGCTGTTAATAAACGACTTAATTAAAGAGTCTCTTAGCTCTCTGGCAGTTTGTTTGGAAATGTCTATCCCTTCTTCTATATAAAGATTGAATCTCTGCGATATTAGATTTTCTTTAAAATAAGTTTTCAATGGTGATGCCACCGACACATCAAAAGCCTGCAATAAATGGCTTGTGTGCGGTGGTATCAAAACCATATCAACGTCAAAAAGGTACAAAATGAGGCAAGCTTTAAATGAAAATCTGGAAGGATGCCCGTCGAGGAGAAGCAAGATACGTTCATCACGAAGTTTTTCTGGGAGGCTCAATCGATAGCTCGACAATTGACACACCAATATCAAGACATAATAAATAAAAAGGTTCCTTGTGTTCCATCCTGCTGCTGAACCAGCGAAATAAGCAAGGCCAGAATATTCAGTCAATGTTCTTAGAGTTTTTTTCTCCGGGAGTATTATCAATGGCTCGAACAGGTACCCTGAAGCTGTGAAAGTAACGCAGCCAGTCAAATGAGGAACTTTCACAGCTTCAGGGATCAATGGAAGCTGGCCTTTTTGAGCAAGAACTTTTAACCGCCTTTTCGCGGTGAGCATGGTCTCGTCCATGTTTAGAATTAAGCAGGGAGAGCGATTGAATAAAAAGGAGTGCAATTGGAAGTAGAAGAAGATGGTGGAAACATTGCAACAGCGCCTTCTTTCGAACTCAATGGTTTGACCAGTAACGATCTTGATGTTTATTGATTGAACCTTGTGGAATAACCAAGTCCGGGAAGGAGGCGCTGTTTTAGTGAATCTGCTTGCCAAATCAGGACAGCCAATGGCGGTTAGCAAGTAAAATGCTCTTGCATTTCTCTTCTTTCTTAAATAATGTGCTAGGGAGACGCCATAAATGGCAGGGATGCAATTACAGTCATCGGCAGCATCTGTAATGATTTTGATGAAAAGAGCTTCATCAAACTTGGACAAATAGCTAAAAGAAGAAGCATTCATACCTCTGGACCAATACTCTAGTGCAGCTGTCCTATATAGTGCATGAGTCAAAGCTGTTCTGCCACTTATACTGAATTGACGCAATAACTCGGAATAGGAGGACTTGAAGGTCAACCGAGTCTCCAGAATACTGACTTGTTCCATTGATAGGTATCCACCTTGCAAAGCAGCATGGATATCTTCTTTGATTGCTCTGAGCTTTTCATCATCAGCCATTAAATAAGTGATGTGAAACGGACATGAAGCCAATCAAACTTTTTGAAAGCATTAAGATTTTGGTTTTTAACAAAAAGTAATTACTTTTTGACCTTAAGATAAATAAAATAAAGGTGAATTTTTTTGGAAATTGTGTTTTACCAAATTTGAATACTTTTTTATTGAATTTTTTTTTATAAAACAATTTTTTAAACAAAAAGTTGAAATTTAAATTTTTATTTAAATAAAAGTTTAAATTTTTAATAATATCGTAAAATTTTTCTTTCAATTTTTTTAAATGGTCAAATAAGAATTGAAATCGGTCAAAGACTATTCGATTTACTGTATGGTGATTATTGGATTTGATAAGTGGCTAAATCAGAATTTCCCTGAGATAAGCTCAAAAATGCAAAGAAATTCAGTTCAATGTTCAACATTATATATCGATGCTTTTCAGTTTTATTTCAACGCATTATATAAATCATCAGATTCTAAAGAATTTATTGGCAAGTACTTAAGATCAATTAAAAATGTAATTTTATCGATAAATCCATCAGATACGATATTTGTTTTCCTTGATGGTCCATCTCCAGCAATCAAATTTCAAAAATTACGAGAAAGATGGTTTTCTAAATGCCACATTGATGATTTTGAGATTGATTCAAGTGAATATGTCTTAGAAGAAATAGAAGATGATGAAGAAAGCGGCCATGAAGCGCTTGAAGGGTATCTTAAAAAAATTATTAATTATGATAATGTTTCTGCAAAATCTATAATTTATAGCTCATTGACTGTTCCTGGTGAAGCCAAATATAAATATTTTGATTATTTTCGAGAAATGAAAAGCCGTCCTGATTTTGTTCCTTCAAGAAAACATATCTTATTATCAAATACCAACGAAATGTTCTTTTTAGCACTCCTATTCATTGATGAGCAATTCTACATCTCAAAATCAAATCATATCATATATGATGTTGATCAACTCAGAAATCTAATATTATATCATATGGCAACCGATGAGCCTTTCCCTGGCCTATACAAAAAAAGCTGTATTGATGAAGATTCCTTAGAAAAAAGAAAGAGAGAGTACCAAGATGTTGTTTCAAAAATGAGTAATGAACTAAAACAGCAAATAATAAATGACGTTGTTGCACTCTCAATTGTTGTATCAAGCGAAAATTTCCAACCTTTTCCAGAGATAAAAAGAATGGGCACAAGTGCCTTCACATATTCAAAACTGCTTGATTCTTATAGGAAACTGAATCAGCCATACATCAATAGTCAAATCATGCTCAATCAAGATGACACAAAAGAATTCAATCCATTGATTGTCAACGGCGTCTTTAATCTTTCTTCTTTCAGAAAAATAATGAATTTATTCCTTGGCACATACTTTAACAAGCAAAACCACCCAGATAAAGACAAGCAAGAAGATCTGCCACTTAATGAAAATGAAAACACAACTGAAATTGAAAATAATGAAAAAGTTGAGCATTCAAATGAAGTCGTTGACGATGAAGATGATGTTGCAAACTATTCAGAGCAGGCACAACAACTTTTTAGAGTTTTCAACTTCACTTGGCAACTCTACACAAACCGTTGTTTGTCATGGTCTTTTCAATATCAATTCAAAAAATCGCCACCTTTGAAAACAGCCTTGCAATTGATGCACGAAGAAGGATTGGATGTTTTTGATACAGAAGGTTCTAAAGACGTGACTGAGCCACTCTTTAAAAACTTCATCATCTATCCTGTCGAGGTTGTCGACATTCCATACTCTTTGTACAAGTTGAAAATTCCACCTTCTCCGATTTCTCGATTCTGGCCTCTTGGAGTGACAGATCCAGCCGATATTCCAATCCTCGATGTGAATGAAGTGAAGCTCTTATATAAAGAAGCAAAGAAGGAGATGAATGGCGACAGACCAGAAAAAAATGTTTTTGGAAAAACTTATGAAATTGCTCGAAAACAGAATAATCAGCAGAGAAAAGTAAGAAGTCGGCAAGGTTTCAATAAAAGGTCAAGGTTTCCTGTTGGTAAAAAAGTTAAATATTGATAGTTTGTAATTTTCATTTTATAAAGGAAAAACCTTTTATATTATCTTAATAATACAAAAAAAATTAATAAAAATTTAGTTAAAAAAAGTTTTAATTGTATCCTGTCATAGTGTGCATGAATGCAATGTAGAACAAGAGGTAGTTTGTGATGCTCATAACTTCAAGGTTGATGGTTCGAATCCATCCATTGCACTTTTTTTGCTATTTTTTATTTAAATGAATAGTTTTAGTTCTGGGCAATATTGCTCATGGATCAAATATTTGATCTGGTCTTCTATCTTTTCTTTCAGCTCTTTATTCAAAGCCGCATTAGAACTGTTCTCTCAATTTTGAAGAGATTCCTTTGAATTTGATGTTTCTTCTTGAAAAAATCAAATGTTTAATTATGATTACCATGACCTGTAATCAAAAATCTTATTAATGAATTAACACCAAATATTGAATATAATCTTCTCAACATCTCTCTATTTATTTAAGTACGAAAATGTGAAATCCAAATGAAATTCTCATTATCAATCAAATGATAAATATCGTAATTAAAAAAAAAAATATATAAATAATGTGAGTTTAATGTTTATGCTTTTAAAGAGCAAGGTTGTCTCCATCATCCTGACTTTCACTTTGAGAACTATTTTTCTTTTTGATAATGAAAACAACAGCAATTACGATAATTGCAACACCTGCAATGCATCCTATGACAATTCCTGCAATTTGCCCACCACTCAATTTACTTCCATTATTAGATTTCCCTCCTGGGCCTTCTTCTACAGCGTTTTTAAGGACAATTCTTTGATCTTCAGTTTCTTGTAAAGGATTATAAATGCAACTCCTCAAATTGAAGCCACAATTTCCATAATTAATTCTTTGAAGCCAGCTAACGCACATATTTTTTTCAAAGAGACCATTAATTAAAACATATTCTTTGTTTGAAACTGGCTTTTCATTGGAGATTTGGTTCAAAACGAGGCTACTTGGAGGATTATTAAAGGTTCCTTTGATAAATGTATTCCAATTGTTATTATTTAAATTAAAATCAATGATGTCAAAGTTCACAACAGCACCACTAAGAGTAACATTTTCAATGTTAATTGTTGATGTTTGAACAATTCTAATTGAATTCAAAACTGTTATATTAGATATTTTTGCATTTGCTTTTTTGGATGTTGAAATGCTTTTAACATTAAAGTTTGTTTCTTTTTGGTTGTTTTGTTTCTTGAGTGAAATTGATCCTTTGTCTTCCAAAAGAATCGAATCAAGAGTCAGTGTTTCAATTTCATCAGGAACAGTGATCTGAACAGAACCGTTAATTCTTGAATTACTAGTGAGACTAATCGATTTGGATTGTGAATTAGAATGCTGGATATTCAATTCACCTTCTCCATTGATTGAAAGATTAGCTTTCTCATCGCCAATTAAAACATTTACTTTTCCATGATCTGGCAAAATCAAATTCAAATTTCCTCCTTTATAATCAATCTCTGAATCATCATAAATTGGCTTAATGAATTGATCATAGGCAAGATCTGAATTGAATGCAATTCTTGATGATTCAATCTGGATAACTTTATTTGTTCCTTTGCTTTCATTATACTTGTTAAATTCTTCTTTAAGTACTTTATCAACTTCATCTTCATTAGAATTATCTGGAACAGTTACAGTGATTATTATTTCAGGAACGTCCACATTAGGAAATGTTGGGGCTTCGGTATTTGTAGGCTCAATAGGATCAGTTTTAACGTTTGAAGAACTAGAAGAACCATCATTATTAGTAGATTCATCTATTATGATCTTCGTTGGAGTAGCAGTATCAGCAGTTGAATCCTGTTCTAAACTTGAACTTGGTGAATCAAGAATTAAAGTTTTGTTTACTTGTTTTTCACAAAATGTGTCCTTTTCATAATCAATTGGAACTTCTATATATTCCAGAGCATTGCAATCAAGAAATATATATTTACCAATTTCTGGTTCTTTGGTCCCAAAAAATTTGACTGAAGATAAAAGGGAACATTTATAAAATGCATATTTTCCAATTGATGTAATTGAAGAAGGAATATTCAAAGAAAGAATACTGCTGCAATTTTTGAATGCATTGTAGCTAATCGTCTCCAAACCATGATTCATTTCTAAATAAGTAATCTGATAACAATTTTCGAATGCACTGTAGTCAATAAAAGTGACTGAAGATGGAATAATCAAAGAAGTTATTCCAAAGCAATCTGAAAACGCAGTGTTTGGAATCTTTGTCAAACTGCTACTAATTTCCAAAGAGGTCAATCCTGAGCATTCTTGGAAAGTAGAACTTCCAATTGAAGTTACTGAAGAAGGAATTACTAAAGAAGTTATTCCTTTACAACCAAGAAATGCTTGATATCCAATTGAAGTTACTGAAGAAGGAATTACTAAAGAAGTTATTCCTTTACAACTTTGAAATGCTTGAAATCCAATTGAAGTTACTGAAGAAGGAATTGTTATAGAAGTTATTTCGAAATGCCATATAAATGCAGCATTTGGAATTGATGTAAGGTTATCATGCAAAATACAATTGCCTGTTTTACTCATTGGAACCAGCTCTAATATTGTGAAATTTTTAGTGTAGAGTAAACCATCAAAAGATGAATATATTTTATTGTCTTTTGATACATTAAATGAATTCAGTTTGTCAAGGTAACTAAATGATAGTTCTCCAATAGATTCTAAGTCACTACCTATATATATGGATTCTAAGCTTTGATCATAGGAAAATGTAGAAGCTCCAATTGATACAACTGAATCAGGTATAATGAATGACTTTAATGAATGACAACCTGAAAAACATCTATTTCCAAAAGATTTAACGCCATTAGCAATAGATACAGAAGTTAGATCTGAACAATCTAAAAAGGCATCATCTCTAATCTCTTTTACGCTACTAGGAATGATAATTGATTTAATATTGTATTTAGAAAAGGAAGCATTATTTATATAAGTCACTCCATTTCCCAAGATTACAGACTTTGTTCTATAACTATTTTCGAAAATTTCATGAAAATTGGTAACACAGTAATCATTATTAATCTCTATTGTCGCAAGAGATTTGCAAGTACTGAATGCTTCTTTTCCAATGTCACTAACGCTGCTCGGAATAGATATAGATTCAAGTGAAATGCAGCAGTCAAAGGCATATTCCCCAAATGAAATTGTATTACTTGGTATATGTATTGATGTCAAATTATAACATCCGCTGAATGTACGATCTGGTATCTTATTCACTTTCTCTGGTATAAAAATAGAGGTCAAACTACGGCAATCATAAAAGGCACCTTTTTCAATTGTTTCAAGATTATCATGTAAAGTAATGTTTCCAACAATTCCTCGAGGAATTCCTATGATCATAGTGAATTCTTTGTTATAAAGAATTTTATTAAAAGAAGCGAAATTTGGATTATTTTCTGAAACTTCGATAACAGTCATTGAATCGCAGTCTGAAAAAGCATGGGTTCCAATTTGATTGACGCTATCAGGAATAATAATACTTTTCAATGAGTTGCAATCGTAAAAGGATTTTTCGCCGATATTAGTAACACCATCAGGTATAATTATTGATTCAAGGTATTTGCATTGATAAAAGGCGTATTTTGAAATAGTTATTACATTATCTGGTATCGTATAATTATTATCTTTTATCATAGGGGGATACTTTATTAAGCTGGATCCATTTTTTAAAAATAAAATGCCATTTAAAGACTTATAATAATCATTATTTTCGCTAATATTAATTGATTCTAAATTTTGACATTGGTGAAAGGCACCAGTTTCTATTGTTTTTACTTTGTCAGGAATAGTAACTGTAGTTAAACTAGAACATGATATAAATGCATTTTCTCCAATATAAGTTATATTCTCTGGAATTATAATAGATTTTAGACTACTGCAGAAAGAGAAAGCTAATGCACCAATCGAAGTAACACTGCCAAAATTTATTGTTGTAAGTGCCACGCAACTTTGAAAAGCATACTCAGGAATTGAAGTAATTGGGCCACTAATTGTTACATTTTTTATATTTTTTAATGTGAAAATTTGTCTGAAATTTTTGAGACAGTAATAACTTTTAATCTCGACTGATTGAAGAGAATCTGAATAAGAAAATGCGCTATTTCCAATATATTTTACAGTTGATGGGATAGTTATATGATCATAAAATGGATTTGATGAAAAAGCTGTTGATCCAATTGAAATTAATCCTTCAGGTAAAGAAATAGAGGTAGTACTACTGCCACCAAATGCTTGATTTCCAATAGATGTTACACCTGTTTGTATAATTATATGTTTTATTTGGAATCTCCATTTATACCAGGGAGGATCTTCACCATGATTATAATCAGTCATTTTGCCAGTTCCTGAAATCGTTATGGTACCTGTGGCACTCTTAAATGAATATGTCAAATTTGTGCCACATGTGCCATCACGATCAATTAAAGTTCTTCGTCTATTATTTTCGAAATCCTTTGCGAAGCAAGGTTTTTGTTTGTCGTTAGAATTTGATGAAAGAGATGAGCAAGCAACGGATTTAGAATAAATCAAGATAGACCCTAAAAGGAAGAGCATTTAGTAAATTTGAATTATAAAAAATAATGAATATTCATATCATTTTTATTTGAATTGATAATTTTATCTGAAAGTGATATGAACGCATAAAAATAAACAATTCAATTTTCAACCATTGGTTTGAACTATCAGATATTAATTAATAAAACAAATATTTGTGCTGAGTTATTAATAAACTTCTTTTTTTGATGATAAAATGCTGGCATGAAAAAATTTTATGAGATAAGATTGAATAAATTTTCTTTGTTTTTCGGAGAAATTTTTGAAATTTTTATCATTTTTGCAGATAAAAAATTAAAAATGGCTTTTACATAAATTTAAAAACTTATAAAATATATTTAATTAGGTAAATCACCTTTAGTTTACAGGATATTTTTATATCAGTTTCATATAAAATTAACGATCGTAATTTCGGTTAAAACATCTCACATCAACTTTTAAATAATGTTAATCTTGATTGATAGAGACAAATGAAATATATAAGCTTGAGTATAAACAATATAAATTTTAAGTTAGTTTTACATTTATAAAATCAAATTATTGTGTCTTTCTAAAACCCAAAAAAAATGTGAAAATTTATCTTGTTATATATAAAATATCATTATTCTT